CCAAGGGGGTAATGTGCGTTCTAAAGCATACATGATTGAATCTTCAAAGACTCCATCTCAGTCTACTCCCTCTAATTTCTCTCAATATGAGATGCATTCTGAGATGTTTGATGGCTCGACTTGATGTATCACATTCTTGTCTCTTCTTCTAACTTTGCTCATACATCTTCTAACTTTGCTCATACATCTTTCAACTTTGCTTATATAGGTATATTTGTTAGTGTTTTTACTCCATCGTCCTCATACACTCCTTGGATAATAGATTCTAAAGCCACAGATCACATGACAAGTTCTTCTAGCATTTTTTCTTCATATTCTATATGTTCTGGTAGGGATAAAGTTAAGGTGATAGATGGATCTTTATACTCAATTTTTTTGTGAAAGGTTCAATTAATTGCTCACCCCTTTATCCGTTTCCTCTATTCTTTACGTTTTCAATTTTTCCACCAATTTATTGTTTGTCTATAGTATTACAAAATCCTTAAATTGGCCAATAACTTTCTTTACTACTCATTGTATCTTTCAGGAACAGGAGTCGGGGAAAGCGACTGGCAATGGTAGAGCACATGGTGGTCTGTATCTCCTAGATGATCAAGCTTCTCCTCAGTCTACAAGTCAAGCTCTCCAAGCAGATGGTGTTTCAGCCCTTCAGTTCTTACATCAATGGCATACACGTTTGGGGGCATCCCACATTTGGAGTTTTAGAGCATCTTTTTCCAAGTCTAATGAAACAGTGAAGTAGATAATTTTTTTGTTGTGATACTTATGAATTTGCCAAGCAGAAACGTTCGTCTTATCCAAGTACTAATAATAGAAGCGCGGCCACTTTTGTTGTTATTCATTCTGATATGTGGAATCCTTCCAATGTCATATTTATTCTGATTATCGTTGGTTTTTTACATTTATTGATTGTTATTCTCGTCTTACTTGAGTTTATCCACTACAAACCAATATGTGGGGCCTTTCCCGTATTATATTTATTTCTGGTTATCATAGGTTTGTTACCTTTATTGATTGTTATTCTCACCTTATGTTTATCTACTACACACTAAAGGTGAAGTTTTCTTGTCTTTTGTATTCCTCAGGGTTGGAAAGAGATTCTCACTAATCGTAAATGGAGAAAAGCTATGGTAGAGGAAATAAAAGCCTTGAAAAAGAATGACACATTGAAGCTTGTTTATATTCCTCCAAGTATAACACATTGAAGCTTGTTTATATTCCTCCAAGTATACGAACAATAGGTTACAGATGGGTGTTTACTATCAAACAACAAGCCGATGGGACTGTCGAGAGGTACAAAGCTAGGCTGGTTGATAAAGGAATTTACACAGACATATGATATTGATTATCAAGAGACTTTTGTTCATGTGGCAAAGATGAACTACATGTGTGTGTTTATCTCTTATAAAGCTAATTTGGGGTGGAAGTTACATTAGTTGGACCATAAAGAATGTCTTCCTTCACAGATTTGGAAGAGGATGTATACATGGAGATTCCTCTAGGTTTTTTATTTCAAGTAAGTGAAGGAAAGGTGTGTAAATTGAAGAAGTTTCTCTATGGATTGAAGCAATCCTCCAAAGCTTGGTATAGGTTTCCTAAGGCTATGTTGAAATTTGGATATAAACTGAATCATCCTGATCATACTACGTTCATTAGACGGATTGATGACAAGATCACGGTCCTCATTGTATGAGGATTACATGGTCATAACTAGGAATGATGAGAATCAAGTCATAAAATTGAAGGCTAAATTGGCTAAAAAGTTTGAAATCAAAGACTTGAGTCCATTGAGATATTTTTTTAGGATTGAGGTTGTCAGATTAGACAAAGGCATTTTTAGCTCCCAAAAAGGTATGTTCTTAACATTCTTGAAGAGATAGGGAAGTTGGGATATATACCTACAAATTCTCCTATTGAAGTCAACAATCGACTGTGTGGTGGCATTGGTGAGGTAGTAGCGTAGTAGAAAAGGAGACATACTAGCGACTAGTAGAAAGATTAATATATCTCTCACATACCCAACCTAGATATTGCTTATGCTCCAATAATGGTCACTTGAAGCTAGAAGCATTTAGTGATACAAATTAGACAAACTCACTGGATGATTGAAGATCAATTTCAGGCAATTGTACCTTGATTGGAGGTAATTTAGTCACATGACGAAACAAGGAGCATGCAGTGGTTGTTAGGTCTAGTGCAGAGGTTGAATACATACCAATGGCCGCTGGAGTTTATGAGCTTATGTGGCTCCAAACATTACTAGAAGGTCTGGGAAATTATGATGACGGACTTATGAGACTGTACTCTGACAACAAGGCTGCTATCGACATCACTCACAATCTAGTTCAACATGGTAGAACTAAAATGTTGAAATTGACCAACACTTTATTAAGGAGAAAGTAAAGAAGGGTTTGTTTTGCATGCCTTTTGTAAAATCAGAAAATCATTGGCTGACAGCTTTAGAAAGCAGCTTAGTAGTAAGGTTTTTCACCTTTGTGTTTGCAAGTTGGGCATAAGAGATATCTACGCACCAACTTGAGGGTAAGTATTATGTTAGGCATTATTTCTAAATTAAGGGTAGTGACTACATATATGTTGGGTTTAGTTGTGTAACCTAATATACAATAATCTTTTTTTGTAATTCTCTTTCTTAATCTTTTCTTCTCCAAAATTCTAACGCTATTGGGTTAAAATCCAGGACAACCCAGCAAAACCAGAACCCACCAAAAGGGATAAACGACCAAACCCCACTCCAAGATGAAATTGAATTGAGTTTGGGTTGAAATCCTAGGACAACCAAGCAAAACCAGAACCCACCAAAAGGTTGTTTACATAACCAATAGATGCCTTACATGTTTTACAGCTGCCAATCAAGGTGAAAAGGCATAAGAAATTGGAGCAAAGAGTGTTACTATCAGCATTTGAAACAACCATTTACAAGATAAGAAGCTTAACATCTCGCTGATTAAATATCAACCCCTTACGAAGTTTAATATTTCCATCACACAATCGATCATTGGTACTATTCTCCACTCTCCTTTTTCATCTTAAGAAGCCACCAATCAGCTTATATTGTAACACATGGTGCCAAGGTAAAGCTGGTGGATTAACAATAATATGAGTATAACAAACCTGCATAAACATTCTGTACAAAGTTCACATTTTAGACATTCAAGCCTAATCAAACTCAAGTTAACAACCTACATAGGTTAGATCTAGCACCAGAGGTGATGTTCACACTCTTATAGAACAGCAGTTACATCCTAGGAAGCACGGACACCTTGTTCAGGCCGAAGTGTCAGTGTCGAACACGTCTTCAGAAACGTGTCGAAAACACTAAAACGAGTGTCTGATTTTGTATAATATTTTTTCCAATACATTTTTTGGGCATGTTTGGGACGTGTAACGGACACCTGAGAGATGCAAAGGCCAGGTTTTGGGCTCTTTCTCAATTTTTTCAGAAGTTGGAAGGTACCATAGTAAACAAGGAAGTTATTTTTCTAGTTTCAGAGACATACTATGGCAAGAATTTTATTTACTAATAAAAATGGGACATAGATACAAGCATAATTACCAACACAACTACAAAATGGGGGCCACGAAGTCAAATATAATTAGTACCTTATCTATGTGTATGTTATTTGATGAAAATTACCGTCATTCAGAGCTGTTAGAAATAGAATGAAAATAAGGATTAAGAAGTGGTGGCTTTTTTAAATTGAAGTGTGGTAGTGGATCATGGATTTTTATGATAAAACTCATACTTTGATATGTTTGATACTTTACTCTTGATTTTAGGATTTCCTACTGTCAAGTGTTGGAATTGTATAATTATTATTGTTTGGAGAGCAACAAAGAAACTTAATTGATACAAGAATGAAATATATTTCATTGAGGGACAAGGAGTTCACCAAGAAAGAAAACAAACAAAAAAAAAAAAAACCAAGTAAATTACAAATTAGATATCACATGCAGATTTCCAAATCTACACAAACAAAAAAATAATGAATTATGCACAAAAATGGCAGAATCCGACACCCCAAAAGAAGCAAAATGGGAAACTCTTTTCCTCAAAGTACTCTTATCCCCAAACATATCTTCAAAGGTTCTAACATTACTTTCTAACCATGTAACTTAAAGAGTTGTCATCATTGAACATCTCTATAGAGTACATGCCTTCTTGCTTATACCAAACCGTCAAAATTCAATCACAAAAACATCGCCCCTTGAGAAAATAGAGAAACCCACCACTCCTTTGCCAAAGACAATAATCATCTCCATTACAGTAAAGCCATTCGGCTCAGTAAGATATATGTATTGATAGACTGATCTAAGATGATGGGACTGCTGCATCCATGACATGATAGTTTTTCTCATAAGATTTGCAGATTATTTTAAGTCTTAATTTGAATGAAAATGTTAACATATAACTACATGAACACATACATGTAAACAAATGCACGTGCCCATGTCCTACATTTTTGAAAAACTTCGCAAGAGCCACATTTGTGTCGTTCCATAATCATGTCCCATGTTTGTGTCCATTCTTCTTATGTTACATCTATAACAGAAAAAAGGGCGATGTCACTATCACGGATCACTTTTCTAGTGCTGTACTTTCGCAACAGAAAATACAACTACAAAGTAATCAGCAAGGTAAAACCGCATAGAAAATAAGAGATTTAACAAAAACTAGTAGGACTCAATTCCCAGAATTCACTCTGACCTAATCTACAGCAAAGAAGGGTGAAGATAAACTCAGTTGGAAGGCTAGATTTAGGAAAAAGAAGGTATTTTCATTGAAAAATTAGTGCAATAACCATTCTCTGGAGAAGCTCAAGAGAAATACACATTTAACACTAGAAATAGCTGTATATAATATGACACTGTAGAATGATCAGGTCCCAATTCCCACTATAAATGTTGAAATAGCTTTTTCAACATTTAGCTTCTTTTACTACCTTGACAATCCATTAAGACTGAAAAGTTTCCCGTTTTATTCATTCCATCCCCAACCTATTTATAGAGGGGCGTCTAAATGGATACTTCACAGACTCATAAGTATCATAACAAAAATCTGTATAAAGCACTGAATACCCATGCTGCCATGCAATGTAGTGCAAAAATGACTTTGAGCAAACAGTCCTAATTTTCGCTCAGCATCTCAGATTGAACAATTTAAGGCAGCTGATGATATACCCAAATATTAACGCTGCTGTGGGGTAAGGAATCAAATGAAAATACGAACCTAAACAAGACAGGAATTACAGCAGAATAAGTTTGGTACTGTCTCCTATTGCACACAACAAATTATACCTGTCGCACAGCAACCAAATATTTGATACCTAAAAGACTCCCATGACGAATTTCCCACTCTGGTCTATGCTGAAAGAAGCGGGAGAACTAATTAACATAGATGCTACAATAACAGAAAAATATCAAATAACAATATAGACAGTAAAATTCTACCTTATATAGCATAAAAAGGACCCAAAAAAAAAGCACATTTTTACATACTACTTACCTGCATTAGTATCAAAATATTCAATGTCTCATGAACAAGAGATGGATGCATGTACTTGAGCACAGCACCTAAAGCTTGCGCACAAGTTTCCCGTACTGGAGCAACAACCTGATCAGAGACATAATCTCCGAAACTGCAAAATAGTTAAAAATGAGAAATATGAAAATAAGGACCTTCAAGAAGATCGCTCCAAGATATCAGCTTCACTTTTACAGGAGCATGAACGGTAAATCAAAGAAGAATTAGGCAATCAACCAAAGAACTTCAGTTAAAAGTATTAAATATTATCAAAGAAAATAGATGTTCTCTATTCTCACCAAAAGAATTTGATCCGAAGCTAAATTTTTTACCAGAACTCAATGAAAAGATAAAACCATACCGGTCAAGTGACAATACGCACAAGAAACGAATAGCACAATCTTGAAGAAATTCATAATTTTTGAGCCAAGAATGCCTAGTCACTTTAATCAAGCTCATCTGTTCACAATTTTCAGGAATATTTTCCAAGGAACCCTTGTCTTCATAATGACTTTTTCCCTTTCCCATATCAATGAGTTCGCTACTCGAGCATAGTGTACTATCAAGGTAAGATTGAGGCTCCACCTTAACAGAACTTTCACCATTTGGCTGCCCAGCAGAAAAATTCCATCCACTATCTTCAACCTTTACAGTAATATTAATGTTACCATCACTGCTGGCAGAGATCATTGTATCCGTCAACTGAGATGAAGCATCTTGGCACTTTGGCCTCTTCAGAATTGGTTCAGTCTCATCTTGTGAAACTTGCATATTCAAATCAATTTCTCTTTCCCTCTTCATTTTCTTTGCAATAACTTTATCATTTGGTTCAGGAAAAAATGCTCCATCACAGCTCAGAACAGGCATAAATACTCCCGCACAAGCACCATGATGGGTTAAAATTTCTCTCAAAGCCATGACACAGCCATGACGAACCTCCCAAACTGACAAAACAATTGTCAGGAAGGTATTATTTAGAAGGAAATTACACACTTCAAATACTGAAACACACAAAGTGGCTTACTTGGATCAAACATATCAAGGATAAGTTGTTCAACAAAACTATGGAAAGGCCAACCCCCATCTCCATCATGCTCAAAGTTGTCTTCATCAAGACTACTATCTGCCAATAGCTGCATAGAGAGATAATTTTAAAGCTTTGCATTAAACCTTCAGGTAAGAAAGGTAAAATAAGGCAGTATGAAGCTTACAAATCCAATTTGAATTAAACAATGAATTTAAGCAAAGAATATATCTACCTAAATCGGATTCAACCATAAATAGAATGGAACAGGATACCCAAATCATCATCGATGAAATGGAAGTCCCTTTCAACTCAAGCTTTTTTTGTAAGCNTGAATTAAACAATGAATTTAAGCAAAGAATATATCTACCTAAATCGGATTCAACCATGAATAGAATGGAACAGGATACCCAAATCATCATCGATGAAATGGAAGTCCCTTTCAACTCAAGCTTTTTTTGTAAGCAAGAGAATATTTATAAACATGGACAAGCTAAGGGGGTGTCACCCCATAACAGTGTAAAAACAATATTCAAAAACCTGCTTTATTCCCATTCAAAATGCTTTATTCATACATAGTAACATACTACCGAGAAATTCGCTCATATCAGGTCACAAGGAAAGAAGTGGGGGAGACTTGCAATGTTACAAGCTACATAGAAAGAAAGAAATACGTGCCTTGATAGCCAACATGGAAATAAGGCATCCAACAGTGACCCAACAATTAATTGCACACAAGCACTGGCATTTAGCGACTAATAGACTATCAAGGGTTGAACAAGCCAAGGACAACACAAACAAATATGATAATAGGAATGCCTCCTTTCATGCTAGAAGATTAAACAAAAGACAACCAATAGGCCTCGTCAAACATCATATCTGGAACCACATTAGAAGCAAACATGGACATAGTCATGTTTCTGCTTGAATATTAAAAGCCTAAAGAAACATTTGCTTGCTTCAGTGAAGTTAGGAAGGACAGACACCTTATTTGGGCCAGAGAGTTGGCCATATCTTTTTGCATTGATTATGGATGAACTAACTAGACATAATCAGAATAAGCTTTCATGGTGTATGTTCCTTGAGGATGTTATATTAATTAATAAAAGTAAAGAAATATTTAATAACAAACTAGAAATATGATAAGTATAGGAGGAGCCAAGATTTTTGTGTAGTAGGAGCAACTTCTTACTCATCGCTAATTAAAACTATTTAATTTTATCGCCAATATGTTGGCCTTTGAAAAAGTAAACTATATTCTTAAAAGTAGAATTTCAAGTTTTNGGATGTTATATTAATTAATAAAAGTAAAGAAATATTTAATAACAAACTAGAAATATGGAAAGTATAGGAGGAGCCAGGATTTTTGTGTAGTAGGAGCAACTTCTTACTCATCGCTAATTAAAACTATTTAATTTTATCGCCAATATGTTAGCCTTTGAAAAAGTAAACTATATTCTTAAAAGTAGAATTTCAAGTTTTAACTCCGATTTTAAATCATATTTGGGACACATACACACACTATAGGGACTGAAGAGAGAGTCATGACTCATGACATTAAATCGCATGGAAAAAGTTTATTTTGATTTTCAAAGTCATGAAAAAATCCACTAATGTACTAAATAATGTTATTTGACAATTAAAAATTGATTTAAGTTGATGACCTAATAATGTGAGGGTTAATATGGTCCAATAACATTATGCTAATTGCAATTCGTGGACTCCGTCATTGGAACTGCATCACTTTACATATAATTAGGTCAACAAATTAAGTCAAATTTTTAGATTTTAAAAATATTATTCAATTATAAACGTAACCATAATTATTACAAACTTTTTAGTGGGGTCAAATTTTAAAAATTTTAATTGAACCCAAAATAATTTAGGATTGAACTGGGGGTAGTAGCCTACACTTCCCCAAGGTAAATTCACACCGGGTGAGAAGCTCTTGAATCAAAAGAATCTAAGATAAGTATGACTAAAACTGAATATATGAAATGTAACTTTAGTGAAAGGATGAATCCAAACAAAAACATAGTAAAAATTGAAGATCAAGAGATACCGAAGAACAAACATTTGTAGTATTTAGGGTTTATTATTCATGAAGACTGTGAGATTGGTGATTGTTACTAGGAAAATGTCCGATGAATGAAAAAAGAGTATTTTAATACCTATCTATAAAAACAAAGTAGATATTCAAAATTGTAATAATTATAGAGGGATAAAATTGATGAGTCATACAATGAAACTATGGAAAAGGGTCGTTGAACATCACCAAAGATTTGAGACTACAATTTCAGAAAATTGGTTTGGGTTTATGTCTAGTAGATCAACTATGGAGGCTATATATTTATTAAGGACACTCATATAAAAGTATAAAGAGAAAAAGAAAAATCTCTATATTGTATTTATAGGCGCATGATAAAGTGCCTACAAAAATAATATAAAGGGTGCTTGAGAAAAAATAAGGGACAAATAGGCATATTGAGGTGATAAATAACATGTATGACAGAACTATGACTACAATTAGGTCTTCCGTAGGAAAAAGTAAAGCATTTTCAATCACGGTTGGATTTCAGCGAAGATCAGCTATAAGTTTATACTTATTCGTCCTAATTATGGATGAACTCATTAGGCACATTAAAGATGATGTCCCACGGTGTATACTATTTACGGATGATATTGTCTTAGTAGATGAAACTCGAAGGAGAATTAACAATAAGCTAAAAATTTANTTTAGGATTGAACTGGGGGTAGTAGCCTACACTTCCCCAAGGTAAATTCACACCGGGTGAGAAGCTCTTGAATCAAAAGAATCTAAGATAAGTATGACTAAAACTGAATATATGAAATGTAACTTTAGTGAAAGGATGAATCCAAACAAAAACATAGTAAAAATTGAAGATCAAGAGATACCGAAGAACAAACATTTGTAGTATTTAGGGTTTATTATTCAAGAAGACTGTGAGATTGGTGATTGTTACTAGGAAAATGTCCGATGAATGAAAAAAGAGTATTTTAGTACCTATCTATAAAAACAAACNATTAACATGAAACGAAATAATAAGAAAATATATTATAAAAATACTTAACTTAAATGAATGCATAGCGCATGACCGAAATGAATGGCGAAGATGGACTTGTATAGTCAATGTTAAATGATTGGGACATAAGACTTGGTTTAATTTCGTTTAGTGTGAGATTGGTGATGATGGTAATCAAAAAATTAATGCATGATAGACTAAATGGAAGAATGCATCGAGCGTCTTGTGTGATAGATGCATACCCTTTAAGCTACAAGGCAAGTTCTATAGAATGACCATAAGACCCACCATACTTTATGGTACGGAGGTAACTAAGAAACTACATGTTGAAAAATTAAATGTGACGAAAATAAGAATGTTAAGATAGATATGCGGTAAAACTAAGAAAAATGGAATTAGGAACGATTATATCTATGAAAAGATAGAAATAGCACATATAGAAGATAAATTAAGAAATAATATATATAGATATATATATATATAGACGGCCTACTACAACAGAAGTGAGATTTAAGCGTACGGGTTGAGAAAGATCAAAATTAATCATAAATGAAATAATAAAGATAAATATAATAATTTATGGTTTAAAAAAAAGAATGGCCCCTTAATAGAGCACAATGTCGAGAGAGAATTCATGTAGTCAACCCCAAAAATACTAGAACAAGTTTTTGTTGTGTTAAGTTGAGTTGTTTTGTTGGCGTCAAACACGTCGGANACTTAAATTAACATGAAACGAAATAATAAGAAAATATATTATAAAAATACTTAACTTAAATGAGTGCATAGCGCATGACCGAAATGAATGGCGAAGATGGACTTGTATAGCNTTCAAAATTGTAATAATTATAGAGGGATAAAATTGATGAGTCATACAATGAAACTATGGAAAAGGGTCGTTGAACATCACCAAAGATTTGAGACTACAATTTCAGAAAATTGGTTTGGGTTTATGCCTAGTAGATCAACTATGGAGGCTATATATTTATTAAGGACACTCATATAAAAGTATAAAGAGAAAAAGAAAAATCTCTATATTGTATTTATAGGCGCATGATAAAGTGCCTACAAAAATAATATAAAGGGTGCTTGAGAAAAAATAAGGGACAAATAGGCATATTGAGGTGATAAATAACATGTATGACAGAACTATGACTACAATTAGGTCTTCCGTAGCAAAAAGTAAAGCATTTTCAATCACGGTTGGATTTCACCGAAGATCAGCTATAAGCTTATACTTATTCGTCCTAATTATGGATGAACTCATTAGGCACATTAAAGATGATGTCCCACAGTGTATACTATTTACGGATGATATTGTCTTAGTAGATGAAACTCGAAGGAGAATTAACAATAAGCTAAAAATTTGNGTTGAGAAAGATCAAAATTAATCATAAATGAAATAATAAAGATAAATATAATAATTTATGGTTTAAAAAAAAGAATGGCCCCTTAATAGAGCACAATGTCGAGAGAGAATTCATGTAGTCAACCACAAAAATACTAGAACAAGTTTTTGTTGTGTTAAGTTGAGTTGTTTTGTTGGCGTCAAACACGTCGGGAACACAGACACACTTCGAATAACCTCAGATACATGTCGGACACGATAAAATAAATTTTTAAATTTTATTATTACTTTTTCCCGAGACACGCAATCAGCACTTATAAGGCACACCGTGTGTACACCCAATCGACATGCATGCGACATGTAGAGGGCACATTTTTGTGTTTTCAAGTTTTTAAACAAAAAAAATGTAACTTTAAAAAGAAATGATATTTAGTTAATTTTCAAGAGATATGAGTTTAATATAAAAATTTCTAAGCGCAATATTATTAATTCATCCTGAATCTAAATCTTCAGTTCTTGAGAAACACGACAAGTCGACCAAGAAAAAAGATGACATAGGAAAGAGATAAGACTTTCATCCTAATTCTTCATGACTAATTTGGGATATAAAATTAAACACAAATAGAATACACTATTTATATGCAACTAGTTTTATGAAAATTAGTGCTACCAAATTAGGGCTCCTTGAAATTGAATCAAAACAAGGATTACAAAGAAGTGGTTTCA